TCTCCCAACTCACACACTTTGCATGAAATAAAGCTTCTTGCTTGATGCCCCACGGCAGTACCCCGGCCGAGCATGCCACGACGTCCTGCAAGCCCCTGAAAAGTGCTATAGCCCGGAACAAATCAAACTTCTAGAAGAAGGAGGTGGAGTGGACTTCAAGGAGATGAGATGTTTCGAACAAACTTGAAACTTTGTGAAGCCATTATCATCCACTAAACATTTAAGGCTTTTTTACCATTGGAATTTGTAGTGAGCATCTAATACTTTACCCAACTAAATTAACATAAATCTACAATGATATGAACAAACTAATGTTTCCAAAAGAAGAAACAAGCCAGCCAATTTCAGCACCATCAGTCAACCAGCAGTGTAAGAGGCGATACAGAGCATGGCTATATCCACGGCAAAGGTCTCAAGGTCATGTACCATGTAGTCCATCACATAAAGTAGCCCCTGGATGAAGATCTCTAGGTCCCCTTCCCTGCAGCCGATTCCATGGGTTTATTTTCTCTTTGACCAGACATAGCGTAACTACAATAACACGCTTGTCCATTTGGCAAAAATTGCAGTTTTAACTTGCTCTATCTTGCTTCCCTAATTTCTCTTATACCTCAAGGTGATATCTCTTATATCACAAGGAGATATCTCCTGTGACATAAGGCGATATCTCTTATATCACAAGGTGATATATCTTATACCTCAAATCGATATCTCTTATATCACAAGGAGATATCTCCTGTAACATAAGGCGATATCTCTTATATCACAAGGTGATATATCTTATACCTCAAATCGATATCTCTTATATCACAAGGAGATATCTCCTATAACACAAGGCAATATCTCTTATATCACAAGAGGATATCTCTTATATCACAAAATAATATCTCTTATATCACAAGGTGATATTTCTTACATCCCAGTTACAAGAATGGTGACACTTTGCACGGAGAGTCCTCGCGACAACCTCCGTTTCTATTCGAAGCCATGTTGTTGCTATGGCAACCCTATGTTAAAAACCTATTTTTGTCATTGTTGCCCAATGTATGCAGACACTTAAGGAATTACGACGCAGCATACTGGGCAGTGGAGTCCATGGGGTCAAACAATGGCGTCAAAGATAAAACACGGTCTTTGTACCACGACATAAGCACAGCTGACTTTTAGTCAAGTGAGCTAAAACCACTGTCGGTCTTGGTGTAAGGCTGTTGGGGATTCTTGTAGCATACTCTCTGCTTGAAACTTTATATTCTCAACTACATTGAATCTTAATCAATAGCCAGATACATATCACTACTGTAAGTAGTCCATGCAGCAGTGAACACAAGCTAGATTAATTATTTTTATAATCATTTTTCTTAAGAAGCCATACAAGACCATACATACTAACACTAGAACGGTTAAGAGACCGAAACGTTGACCGTGTCAAACGCTCTGACTACATACGGCAGTAACATACACAATCACCGATATCATTTCAGTCGAAGTATAAATGCTGTATTGATCGCGAGAAGCCCAGGCACTCCACGATGCAGTCAGGGACGTTGTCGACGGCGTACCTACACCATCTACACGACTACAGCGTCACGTACACGACGATTCTAGCTCACATCGATCTGATAACAACATAGCCACTTCCGCCTCATCGAAAACAAACACATCTCTCCGGCTTCATTCTGTGTGTTTCCTTCATACAGGATAACGCTTGGCTGTCTTCGATTCCATAACACAATGAACGGGAATCCGCACCACATCGTCAAACAGTACGTGCCTCGTTCGAGTATTCTTGTTATATATTCAGAATGCTTCGATATGAACGTGATAACTGAAAATATTTGAGGAAATCGTACGTTGCGTTCATGTTTGACACGGCATATCGATTTTCTAGCCTGTCGCATACAAATATCAATAAAAAATGCTAAATTAATTTAAGACGGTTATTTAAAAGCTTGCGCTGTGTTGCCAACGTGTTGTGTTGTATTGGCAAGTAAATTAATGAGATCTGAGGTTACCAAGGTTAATTAACGGTAAGGTTATAGAGCACGCATAGCAGGAAAACACCTACACGCATGCAAGAAAACTATCTCACTTTTTTGGGGTTGGATTCAATTATAACAGCAAGTATTCTCCAGCTGTGTGACATGTTGTATGGCCGAAACCTTTTTTTGGTAAGCCAAGACCCTTTTGAAAGAACTGGCGCGATCTGGGACATGTTCCTGTTACAACTGGGTGTCTTTGGGTAGGGAAGGACTTAAACATTCTTGAATGCATTGGTGATAGATTAAACACTGACGAAGTCGACTGGCTGGTATTTTCTTGTCCGATCAGCTGATTAGCTGTGACAGTTGCAGAGAATCAGAATAGTTAGCGCGTGCCTCTGTGTCTGTGACAAGGGAAACAACGAGTCTAAATTAGTGCGACGAATGAAAACAGCCACGAAGCCAAGTTCAACATTTCCTGATAAGGCCGTGTTTTTTGTCCAAATACAACCCCCAATCTTGCTCTGATTAAACCAGTCGAGTTGTGTTTTCACCGACGAATAATTTCATGTTCCCAATCATGGCAATGGAACCGGACAAAACCCCGACTCCAATAAGTGACGTAAACAGTTCTACTTGAAAGGGATCCCAGTATCACAGCAACCCTCGCGGTCTTATATTTCAGTAAGTGGTGACGTAGACTTTCTACAGTTGTACATCTCCCATATCCTAACGCTGACCTACTGATGAGTTGAACAGCAAGACTGGCGTTGAGTGTTTCTGATATATTTGGTTGCATCAATCAAATTGGATAGTTAACCCCGGATAAGCTGAACACTTCCGATCTTCTCCATTTGCGACTACGCGCTTCTATATATGTATGGGTTTTGGTTTTGAGGACGTCGTTGGTTTTAGGGGTGCCGGGGAATGTTTGATTTTACCAAACCTTTGTGACGTGGTTCTGTGGTACAGATGTGTCATTCCATGCAAAGTGTATTATCTCACACATGGCGGCGCAAGATGGCGCAGTCTCCTAAAGTGCTGCAATTCTCGGTGGAGTTCTCCCCACGTGCATGCCACAAGCCTATGACTGAGGGTTCGAATCCCGATTTGCATGATTCTGTGAGTTTAAGCACATACCATGCCCGAGGGTGTGACCAGATTGGTACATGGCAGGGACATGCAGTCCTTGTGGCAGATACAAACATCACCTTGGTCCAGACATGGACAAAAATGGTCCCTGTAGATCATACTTAGTGTCAGAAAGAAGTTTCTAATGTGTCTGTCATCCATGTTTTCAAAGGATCTGTGGAAGTTTGAACTACAGGTAGACAACAAAGAGGAACTTAACTTTTGCAGGTGTATGTCAAGAAATGAATATACCACTGTACCCATGCTTTGTTATACTGGAGGTGTTATTCCATACCATGGACCATGGGATATAATGTCAACAGTAAAACTGCTTCACCCTGTCTTGAATGTTATTCTCGCGAACTACATTGCGTACTTCAAACCACTTGTTACTGCAGCCATAAATCTAGATAATACACAGCCAAGTGCCAAGTCGTGTGTGGTCCTGTGTGTAGAATCAGTTGAAGTTAAGCAAGGTCAAGCGGGGAGAGTCCTTGGATGCATGGCCGTTTGTGACAGCTTCACCCCTGAGAGTTTCTTGGACTTCAGTCCTGCCCTGGTGTCCCCCGCCGTGATATTGCTGCAATATTGCTAAAAGCGGCGTAAAACCATACTCACTCACTTACTCGTTTCAGTCCTGTCCCACAAGGAAGCACATATGATACATGTGGTCTCACCTTAGGCAAGAGAGTTTGTTCAAAATTGCCTCCTATGCACCCAGCACAAAATGAGTACCTGGTGAAATAAGTCATGTGACTATAACCTTCTAGCGCCTCACAGGCAGCTTGGGTTATCTGGGATAATGACAATCCGATTCTGATTACAGCGTCCAGTGAGCAACTAGTCAGATGGATGCTAGGCGCTATATAAATGAATTATTATTATTAGGCTGTAAAGTAGTACAGTCATACAAGTTGTGTTAGGTAACTGCCAGTAAGATATTGCTTCCTGTCACTGTAGTAAACAGGCTGAATGAGGTCCTGTAATACTAGCTAGGGTCCAGCTGGTTGAAACCGCTAATACATGTTACCTCTGTAGGTACTCAAGTCAAGAATATCCCTAAAGCTTGCTGTATGCACTGATGAAGGTGTGATGGAGTGTCTGTTATCCTACTGTACCTACTGTTATCCAGTGGTTTGCATCAATTATCCAGTATACCATATCCCTAAATTGTAATAATAATACCATGGGCCTATTATCCTCTGTAGCTTCATTTGGAAATGATGTATTTTCACCTGGAAAACACGCAGCCCTTGATTCCAAAGCCAAGAGGAAGATAGCCCTTTGTTTTCTACAAGACATTCTTACTGTATTTGAAACAACACAAAAGTTGAGTTGAGTAATATTGCTGCTTGTTACAGGTATGAAATAATGGTGTAATCTGATTGAACAGCTATATAGTTGACAGCCATACCAATAGAGTGAGTGAGTTCAGTTTTACACCACACTCAGCAATATTCCAGCTATATGGCAGCGGTCCGTAAATAATCGAGTCTGGACCAGACAATTCAGTGATCAACAGCATGAGCATCGATATGCGCAATTGGGAACCGATGACATGTGTCAACCGAGTCAGTGATCCCCTTAGTCGCCTCATACGACAACCATGGGTTACTGAAGATCAATATTCTAACGCGGACCTTCACGGTCCATACCAATAGAGATTCAACACACTAGATAATCAAGGTTGTGGTTTGCTGCATACAGATCAGAACCAGGTGATGTACAGACAACTGTGATATTGCCTGAAACTGAGACCTTAAACCAAAATACACCACTGAAGTTTTCTTAATAGAACACTTCTCATTCTTTAAGGTTTGTTGCAAATCTGAATCAAACTATTTGAAGCATCTTCAGAAATATTCTTCCAAAAAATAACATAAACCACAGTTCAATGTGTAAAATTCAACATTTTATTTGTTTAATTTAATATCTTGACAAATCAATGGAAAAATGTCAAAATATTTGAAGCTAGGGTGGAGAAGTGATGTTAGTGCATAGTGAGGTCTGAGGCATCCACATTGAGCGGAACTCAACCTGCTGGAGTGATGGAGTGGAATCAGGGATCCAAGCAGTGGGAAGATATTTACTGGAGAGCTTGGAAGCCATCTGTAAGTCACTGTGGAGATTGAAAAGCAGTACTCGTAGTGAAAGCATACAGGAAAAAGTACTATCCAATAACACTGATCTGATATTAACTAAACGGGAATTGAAAAGACAAGAGTCAATATTAGACAATTAGAGACAGAATCTTTCTCAATCCTTGTCAATATTTGCATCATTGTACAAGAAAGTCTCCCCATGATTTCTCTTGATAAGTTAAGACAGGGATTTGAATGGAGTGATGAATTGGTCCTGGAGCACATCACATTGGTTCAAAATTACTGCTAGTCAGTGACCTTCACCTACAAACAGGAGCAAGAAAAGCTGGCCCAAAGATTTTTTGGAAGATGGCGACAGATATGTGAAAGGAAAATACAACCCTCTTAACCAAAATATAAATATAAATTGTGAGAAATGGGTACAAGTAAGAACTATACTTCAGTTATACAAGTCAAAATTTAGAAAAGGAGGAAAGGCCAAAGTGAATAAGATCTTAGAAACATACAGGCATTGGTTTATGTCTGACAGATCACAGATCATAAACAGATAGAAGCTGATCTTCAAACCCAGGATCTGCAGATTTTGGCATGGCTAAGGGATGCATCTCTACACAGTGTGCTGCTTCTGACCTCCCCTGCCCCACAACAAGAAAACACAAAGCAAACATCCACAACAGAGGAGACAGAATGTAACATGTCTGATTCAGGCATATGCTGCTGTAAGAATAAATAGCAAACAGGAAACAGAAAATAAGACTTTCAAATTTTGCTCTGTGAGTGTGCTCTAGTCCTGAAAAACTGTAGGTACTGTCTCCTGATGAAGTTTTCACAGTTTTCAAACTAAGAAAGCTCTGTGAAGAATACTGAGCATTAAAGACACTAAATGCATTATGGCACTGCTTATGGTATATAGATGTTATGCCATAGGATCTATAGAGTATTAACTGGGTAGTATTAATGTTATACCATGACATCTATAGAGCATTGCCTATGGCAAACTTATGCCATAGGATCTGAGCACTGCATGATATATAATCCTTTTAGCATAGGATCTACAGAGCCTTCAATGGGGATCACCAAGTATGTAGATGTCCATGAATAGCACTGAGTATAGGAAATGATGCATTTACAGCATAGAGTCTATGAGAGATACAGCCAAATAGTATAGAATACAGACTCACTAAGTGAGATGCACTGTACAGAATTGAAACCATGCCTTCCAGCACAGAGCATGAACTACATACTTCATATAATAGAATACAGAATAGAGAGCACAGCATTGACCTTCTGAAGAGCACAGAGCATAGGGCTTTGAGAACAAGACACAATGCATGTTCAGCATTAAGGTTATATAGAGTGTTCAGTCATATTAGAGAGCACAGAGCAGAGGGCATTGAGCAGTGTATAGACAGTAGAGCACAGAAAATATATACAATGAATGTTACTATGGTGATAAAGGGCAGTTTGTGAAGGAAGGATATATTGGAGACACGGTGGTGCACGGAACGTCGTGTAAACGTGAGTTTATATAAATGTGGTAAAATACACCATTAGCATTATGTTACAGCAAGTGATGACTAGATCATTATGAAGTTAGAAAAAGTTGAAATCTAAAACCTTGGAACTTGGTACTGTTGATGTTCCAAGATACATAATATACTGTGGTGGTCACGGGTATGGGCAATATACACAATGGGACTGTACTGCTCACAGTGTTTAACAAGGGCAGCTTCGATGTCAAAGGAGAAATACCAGATCCATAAAAGCTCTTAGAAATATTCACAAATCTGAATGTGTTAACCTCAAACTATTAAATAGATCTATATGTCAAGACATTTTCATGGGAAGTTTGAAAATGTTACAGTACCTTCAAAGTCCACTCTGACAATACACCTTCTCCACATAAACCAACAAAAATAAACACCATGCCACCACAACTACAGTCTACATTACTCAGTGGATCTCAGGAAATAGGATGATTATATCCCCTGAACGACATAGTAACTCTGGTCACTGAATCACTTGGTTTACAGTTCTCATACAAAACAAGCAATGCAATGGTTGTGAAATTAGGAACTTGTAACATTTCGAGTGTGGGTCTAAATCAAAGGTTTCTGTTCTTCCAATACTGTCACAGTTTGTATAGGGGTGAAACGGTACGCTCCTACCATGATACGGTACGTATTGCTGTACAAGGCCTTCGGTTCAGTCCATTTCGGTTCGGTATATGAGATATGATCATAGTGCAGAGAACTGACAAGAGCCAAACCTAGACCGATTTTGACAAAATGGTTCGATTGCTAGACATTTTAAAAAAAGTTTAAAAAGGTTAACGAAATGATGGTACGAAAACCAAAAATACCGAACTTTTGGATTGCATTACAGTATATTGAACCAAAGGCAAAATACCTTGGTTCTACTAATACCGGGGTATATCGTTTCACCCCTAAGTTTGTACATTTTCTGTTCATAACGAAAATCTGTTTACATATCCATCTAGAAGAGAAAAAAAGACACTTATTCAGCAAATAATTTGATCATTGTGGTAAGATCTGTAAACCAAGTAATTAATAAGGAATATTTCTCCACAGCTACAATCTGCAATAATTCAGACCATACTCTGGACAATCTCGGCTATCACAGACAATGACTGATCTATTGTACGAACCATAGTAATGATAAACATACTAATACTCTTTATTTGATCCACTTCACTGACACAATCTCCTCCTGCATTACTTGAGCAACCTCCTATGACAAACATCTAACTATCCAGCTGTTTAAAGGAAAATACCATATTGAGCTGCAGCGAGAGCAGTGAATTGGTTTATCTGAAAAAAATATTTTCTTCTTAATCAACTTCATTTTTATTAAATTGAACTTAATACCAACATTTTTTAAGCATTAACATCATTATATATTAACACACATTAACCATACTTCAACTCTTCATATCATTAAATCTTAGAATTTGACATAAATTTGAGAAACATACATTCTATCGTTTGTGTCTAACACATATTTGTAGATTTATATACAGTGTGTCAAAGCTATCAGAGAGGCATGTTTGTCATCAAGAGATTGAACACTCTCATATTTCTGAAATACAGTTCACTGGCACCTGAGTTAATGATCATAGAAGCAGCAGATAACTGGGTACCCGGTAGTCCTAGAGGATTCAGGGTGTCTGGAGCAGCCACTGCCATTAGGGAAACGTGGTGGGAATGTCAGTAAGGTATGACAAACTGGTCTCTACAAACTCTGCAAATGGTTAATATCGTCCAGTAAAACCTTTTCTTATACACCATTAACTCATATAAACTCTGCAACATACTTAAACTCTAAAATATATTTTAAAAATACTCTGATAGACACACATATTGACATAACATTTTGTCATTAGTTTAGCGTTTATACATCTCTGTGCATTAACAATAAACTCACATTTTCATGCTTCATACTGCATCAGATTCAGAAATATCTTTAGTTTCCACAGGTTTTGTAAAACAATTTACACGAGGGCAAGAAATCCATCCTTGTCTGCATGGAGAGGGATTTTCTGGCTGTGATGTGACAGGAAGTGATATAGACAATGGAATCAGTTCCATTTATCAGTATTTTACAAGCCAAATGGGCATGCTTACCCTTATTGCAAATAAATGCTATTTTGCATTTTACACCAAAAATGTTTCACGTATGTATGTTGATCAAAGGATCTTTTCAAATATAAACATACATAACAGGACAATGTTTACTGAGAAACTGTACCCTCACTTGTTTCTGATGTAATCTATTCATATTGGAATAGTAAACTTAACAACATCTTTAATTTTCTTCAGTTTGCAGACAATTGTCTCTGAAGAACTAGAAGACTTAACTTTTAATCTTCTCAAGATTCATTTCAACAAGAAATACCAACACTTTCCGTTTCGCTATGGATATTACAAGTCTTAACCATACTGTAAGATTACACAAAGATCATATGTGGGATTTCCATTTGGTACTATCTGCTAGTCTGGTCCCCATGACGACAGGAACAACATGGCTGCTGGCAAGTGACAGACTACAGAGGACAACAGAGTAAGGGCATATTGTGCTGTGATGAGTTGTCAGATTACATATGACATACACTGGTATCAGAGAGTAGTTCTCCAATATCCATACTGTTAATTAATAACTTGTACAAGGTAAAAAAGTGTACATATATGTATCCCATTCAGTTTGAAACACACACAAGTCATCCCCCCCAACAATAATGTCAAAACCTCAACATGGACTGAATGTCTCTGAGAGAAGCACTGGCAGTAAAGATCTTTTGAACCAGTCTGAAATCGTTCCTTAACACGCACAAACCTCCTGGACAGCGTTCCAGGCGTGACCAGTTCTTGTCACTGAACTTACTGCTACACTGTTATGTTTGTTTAAGGGGCTGGTCAGCTCCTCTCTTGGAATGAGTCATGAGTGGCTATACTACATCAGGAACAGACATCCATCAGAGCAGACGCCAATCACAGCAGATGTCTGTTGGAGCAGACGTCATTCACAGCAGATGTCTGTTGGAGCAGACGTCATTCACAGCAGATGTCTGTTGGAGCAGACGCTATCACAGCAGATGTCTGTTGGAGCAGACGTCATTCACAGCAGATGTCTATTGGAGCAGACGCAATCACAGCAGACATCTGTTGATGCAGACACCAGAGGTAGTCTTGCTGGTGGATCTGTTTTTCAGGAAATCTTTATCACATTCAACTGGGTAACAACAACACATCCACCATAATTAATATTCACCAGCTCCTGGAATATATTGATTCATCAATCTTGTATTCCACTTCTGAATCTCCTTGCCTCATGTCCCATGATGCTGTTTCCTTCGCCTGTATCCTGCACCTACTCCTGAATACAACTGGATGAGATCTGCAGACGCTAATCAAAGATACACTAGTCATCAGATGGCCATTAGTATGTAAGGTAAATCCATGCGAGTGCAGAATAAAAGGTTGGATCCAAATGACGAACGACCACATTATGGACCATCCATAAGAATGTAAAATGATAAATATACTGGAGTCTACTATTGTCTGCTCAACATTCCCTGCAGGGAGTACAAGGGAACCTCCTCTCCTGGGAATCAGACGGGGGATAGTCCTTAACGGGGACAAAGGGCCAGCTTTGAGCATGATGGTGGGGGTGTTGCAGCCCCTACAAGGGGTATCGGTGGCAACAGTGGAAGTGGGGCTACAGGTCTATGTACAGGAGGTCCATGGTATCAAGTCGTAGCTTCTCCTCAATAGCCAGACGTTGCTCAAACAACTTGCTGCCACTTCCACCACCATTAGGACTGTTCGGTAATTGTCAAAGAACTGTGTCAAATATTGCCATTCCTTTCGTTATGTTCTCGTCCTGAAAAATGGAGTAGATGCAAATTGAAATTTTCTGTTTGTCAAGTGGCATTGATTTCTACAAGGTTACATTCATCAGTACATGAGTACCTTACCATATAATACAAGCTCAAACCACATTGAATTCATATTTACATTCATGTGATTTAAATATGGCAATAACTGAGTTAGTGTCTAGAACTAGTGTAGTTTGATAAACAAGATCATTATGACATCACTGAGTAGACCATTTTTGTCTTTAAAATGTTATTACAACATAAAAAATACAAAATTGGTCATTGGACACATGTGGGGCTGATGTTTCACATGAATTAAAAGAGGATAACAATATTTGAGTCCAAATTTATAACTAGTGTAGCTGGAGGAGCTAAATTAAATTCCATACGTAACAAATTCATCATATTGAATTTTGGTAATGTATATGTTACTCCCAATCTGTACAACGCTGCATGCATTGGGCAGGCTGTTTGCCCATCACATTGATCACACAGGTCCTGAATGCAGTAGAAGAGTGCATGTCACCACTGCCTGTTACACACTGATAGGCTTACCCTTCGACAAGTATCCATAAACTCTTCTAAGGATATAACACCGTCTCGGTTCATGTCCATTTTCTGAAACAAAGTAAGAAAAGTAAGCATTGATCAATCGATACACTGTAAAGACTGACCAGCTCCTGATGCCACATACTGACAGCTTTCAGTGGTTGAACAGGCAGGGAAACCAGTGGTCAACAGTATGAGCAAAGATTTGTGAGAGTAGGGGCTGTTGGTGGTGCGATATGTCCACCATGTTGAGAACCATAAGATAGTGATGATACAAGGTGTTCACAAAATGTGAGCTTGTCTGTTCCATCAATGACACCCATCACAAACCCATAGAAAGGCAAGTGAGTGAGTGAATGAGTATGGTTTTATGCCGCTTTTAGCATTATTCCAACAATATTACGACGGGGAACACCAGAAATGGGCTTCACATGTTGTACCCATGTGGGGAATCGAACCCGGTCCTTTGGGATGACAAACGAACACCTTAACCACTGGGCTGCCCCACCGCCCCACATAGGCAAGTAAATTGTTATAAATAGTCCAAATAGAACACTGCATTGGACATTATTTTTATCACAGATGTGACAGCAACTAACATCGAGACATGAAACAAGTGAATTCGCTCCTACCTGGAATACCCGTTCTACATGTTCCTTGGCTGATGTTTCATCCACAACTGGTTCCGTGTACCGCCCCATCATTTCGTAGATGGCGGACACAATGTCTAACATTTCGTCTTTCGTGATAATGCCATCGCCATTAATGTCGTACAGATTGAAGGCCCACTGTAACCGCTCTTGCAGGGTGCCTCTTGACAACACTGAGAGACCCATCACAAACTCCTAGTAAACAACAAAAATACATTAGAAGTATTTGGTTTGATAACAAGGATTACACATCCATCAGCGTATATTTCATTCATGTAACAATAACAAACATTAAAAATTCTAGCGACATATATATTACCAGTGTATGAAATAAGGCCCGTCCGACCGCCCGAGGCGGGCTAGATTTCTGCCGGACGGTCAGATGTTACAGCTTGCCAGCCTGATGGACGGATGAACACAATATATTCAGATAACGTGTCCACTGGCACGTCTATTTAGTATTTAAGAAGGACTGGTTAAATCTCTTCTGGGCTGGTAGGTTTTTGAAGTTACCAGCCCAGATGTCTGGCTGGGTTTTTGGCTTATTTCATACACTGATATTACCAAAACCTCTCAAAACTAGATCAAAATGAAAAAAGGATGTAAGTGTCTTACTGTCATCCCACCCTAACTAAACCCCTAGTCTGTTAAAAATGATTGTTCCCTGAGAGTGGTGTAACACTATAGTCACAACAGAAAAACATGCAGTATGCAGTGAGTTCTGAATGCAGCCTTGTACAGTAATTCCCTTATATTGTGCTGAGTCAGCATCTGGTGGGAGGTAAGCCCATTGGGCTGCATGTCTGAGGATAACCCTTTGGAGAAACCTAAAAGCATAGGTGATGACACAACTCTGAAATGCCTAAGATGCATGGACCACACTGTACCAAATGAAGGAAGGAACTCACCTCGAAGCTGATTGAGCCATTGTTGTCATGGTCAAATGTTTTGAAGACATAATGGGCATAATCACTGGAGTCTGCAAAGGAGATAGAAAATATAAGATATCAAACTCATAACATGTTCCAGTCATGTTTTGGAAAATGGTAGTCTGTCTCACCCTATGTGAACCGCTTTATTTTCCCTTTTGCTTGCCCCTTCTCCAATGCTAAAGCCCTAAATGCAGCAAGTCTAGATTTTCTCAGGTTATCTCCCTTCTTACTGGGGCTCCTCTTCAAATTAAAAGGAATGTTTTGTTCTATTATTATGTGTATGCAGAGTCTAAGCATTAGACTAGCAAAATAGGATGCTATATTTACTGCCAACTGAAAAATCAGACATGTTTCACTTAGTTTTCAACATTGGATATGAGCAATAACTCAAAAGAAAGAAATGGACACCCACATTTTTCTGACAACATGTCACGACAAGACAGATCCATTTTAGTCACGTGAAAAAATCAGGTGTTCTTTAACTTCTTTGGGTAGTGTACAGTATCTGACCAACTTTCTTTCCTTTGGTTATGGGGGCGATGGGGTAGCCTAGTGGTTAAAGCGTTCGCTCATCATGCTGAAGACCCGGGTTCGATTCCCCACATGGGTACAATGTGTGAAGCCCATTTCTGGCGTCCCCTGCTGTGATATTGCTCGAATATTGCTAAAAGCGGCGTAAAACTAAATTCACTCACTCACTCACTCCTCCCTTGGTTATGCCATTTGTCTCTCTGTTTCTAAATCTCAAGCTTTGTGTTATATTTTTAACAAATACAAACAGACAATGCAGCTGCTTCAGATGTACTACTTCCTAGTCGGACTGAAGCCCCCAACACTGCATCTCCAGCAGCAGGTAAAACTATTTCCTGGATGGTTTGCTTTGATCTCATCAGTGAAGGCAAACTTGTCAAATAGATCAAGTTCAAAATGGGAAACATTTTTGCATTCTGGTCCAGAAGAAGTCACGTTTATTTAGTTATTTAGATAGAGTGTTTTTCCTTTCATTTAAAAAACACAAGGGTTATGATTTTGGAATTCAGCATTCACTAAAGCAACCTCTAGATGCCATTGAAAGAAGAAATATGTTTGAAGGTCTTAATTTACTGTATTTTTGTAAGTATATATTTCAAAATCATTATAAACAAACATGACAGTATCTGGAAATGTGCTTCAAATAAGCCCGTCTATCACAATATAAACCACACACTATACCAAACACGACATTTATTTCCTATGTTTACAACATCCAACAACATATTCTAGCAAGAAACTGGACTTGGCACCTTTCCAAAGCAATTGTATGAAAATCAGAAGAGCATTTTTCCCTTCAAGTTTACACAAAGTTTACTTTATCCACAAGTTTGGTGGGTTTTATATGTGGGCTGGAAAATCTGGTGTATTAAGCTTCTTAAAACAGGAAAATCTTAAACAAACCATGTAGAATGAGTGCGTAAATATCAGCTTTAACAAGTCTTACACAGGCTCACGGGTTGGGAGGTACAGAAATAATGAGGTGATTTCACAGGGACAGTTTACCCCCGACTTGCCGCCATGTTGAAGGCAGCCAGGCCATCGATAACAACAAAACCCCTATGAGCTACCATCCCAAAGTCATTTCCGTCGGGCCATGTCAAACCATTTCTCATCCCATCTATATCAAAGGTGCATGCTATCTCCATGCCACAACACATAATTAATTGCCCCTGTAGGAGAGAAGGAAATCAATCAAAAGTTTAATCCCTTTCAAATTTTATGCCAATTTAAAAAAATCAAACTTGGTTTTAAAACAAGAATGAGGTCACCTTAAGCAGGATGGTGTTAAGATGGAGAACCAAAGATGATTGGGTACAGGAAGTGGAGGATGTTTGGGACAAAGTCATGTTCAACTTGATGATGATGAATGCAGCAGTCACATGAACATTAAGCTGATTCAATGATACACTGAATGTGGATTTACACGGACAAGGCAACAAAGAGCACAGAGATATGACAAAAGTTAACAACATCCCATGATTAACCAACAATTCAAAATAACTTGAATGCAACATTAAACACATTTTCATCCATTAAACAAAGAGCACACTTAAAATGAAGACTTAAATTTTTCAATTCTATTTGGGATCATATTGATTTTAGATCGTGTCAAGAAATAATTGATTATGCGAGCATGTCATACTGACCTCCCTGAGGGAAGAACTGAGCATATATCTCCTTGAACGTCTCCTCATTGACAATCCCTGTGGGACATTCCTGAAATACAAAAACAGAACGTTTAGTGCATTTACATAGTTTCGGGGGTCATACAGGGCGGGCGAGCGAGTGAGTGAGTGAGTGAGTGAGTGGGTGGGTGAGTGAGTGAGAGCCCTAGCCACCAATTAAGGTTTTAGGACAGGTTGCTCACAAATCTCAAAACCCAGAATCAAGTACCCAATTTCAATGGTAATATGTCACAAAATAAATATTTTGTCCTATATTTCTACAATCATCTAAGCAAATGCTATACAGAATACTCCTCCAAGACTGCACCATGCATGAATTACCTCCCCTGGTCAGGTATTGGAGTCCTTGGCATTGGACTTGCTTCCATCAAAACCTGACCTGTGGTTTTATGCAAAGCTAAGCAATAAGTAATATCACTTAAGGACAATAACTGACTATGTGATAGACTTGATGTCAAAGTGTTGCATCGTTACACTAAAAGTGATTTGATTCTTCATGGTTATGTGTGAATCCAGTTCTTGGTGTCCATGGTCATGGGGATTACCAAACCATATTTACATATTTATGAACAAACATTTAAGCTATCATCTGACCAGAAGTCGTGGTATGACTGGAACACCCAGATTACCCACCGAATCTACATAAGACATGCAGTTCGGTTCAGCTTTCACACCTTGTCCCTTCCCCCTGTAACATCTCTGGGTGCGGTAGGGTAGCCCAGTGGTTAAAGCATCCGCTCATCACGCTGAAGGCCCAGGTTTGATTCCTCACATGGGTACAACGTAAGTTAAAGAGCATGCTATATTTTTCAAAGAATTCTGAGAGATTATTGTTAGTAAAAGGAAATAGAGAATAAAATAGACAAGGTGATTCAAATGATACCTCAAAGTGAAACACCCCTTCCCTATTGACCAACTTCAAAGGTGTTTTATATTTTATTACTGAAATTAGTTTACTAAAAGGTTGGATACAAACTGGTCTAAAAACTATTTTATTCATCATTTTTTTATATGTTTGGTTGGCAGATCTCCAAAACCATGTTATTAAGAAAAGTCCCAACTTAATACTCTTCTGTACACTGAGCGAGTACGACCTGATCAAGCAGTGCTAATCGAGACTACTTAATGGTGATTATCAATCTTCAGAATACATCCTGTGTGTTTAATGTACTACTTAAAAGATCTCTACTATTTGAGCTGAAGTCTCAGTATTCAATCTGACATACTTCAAACATGTTGAAATGTACTAGGACAAAATATATCAAATATGAAACTTCCATCAACTAATAATGATGATGACAGAGCTCTAAGTGCAAACATCTACTTGGTATTCATGACCACCGAGTGATGAAGACTTCACTGTGGACTCCATTACCCTGAGCTCTGTCCAAGAACTGCTTCAAAGACTCAATGAGCCAACTTAAGCAACTTTCTTTACTAATCGACAAGAGAACCAGTTGCTCATCCTCACTTGAAAACACTGGAGAGCCATGGTTACCTTTTCAGAGAAGCAATTAATCTGCAAACTGAATAAAACAGCGTCATCAGAGGTTCAACTCAATTACTGTCCCAATCCGCCCCAGAAACAAGTCACACAGAAGAGAAAATTGTAAACTTTTTTGCAATTGGAAACTGCAAAAGACTTGTCCTGTTTAAATGCATTGGCCATAATTGTGGCCAGAAGCAGGGCCAGTGTGTAGGAATTTCCTTGCATGTGAAACGATGTAGAAAGTCCATAATTACTGATCAATAATTGTTCCCAAAGTGTGAAAGGGCCGAACCCACTTCCTTCATCCTGGTCTAACAAGCAAGCAGCATTTGCCCAGGATTGTCCGGGAAGAGTGTTCAAGCATTACAGCATTCACAACTCTCATTATATGAAACGAAAAAAGAAGAAGAATGAAAATCAAACTCCAACAGTGATTAATTGTTTTCTCCAAGTTCTCCCATATTGGTTTTATTCAAATACAGTGTTTGCCAGTGTCTCGGTCATGTTTTTGTTGCTAGTCTTCTGCCAGTGAAAATATTTTTCTTTCATCTACCTATGAATAGCCACAGAAATTGTCAAATGCTTGTACCAACTGGAAAAACAAACATATTAATTGGTATTTTAATAAGAGCATGTTCTGTGTTAAGAAGCATCATGACATTACAAGTTATGTAACAATCTTTGGTGAAGGGATGTTTAAATCAGTTCCGTTCCTTGCACAACTGTTAGATAACCATCTCCATAATAGAACACTGTGTATGATTATGAACAGTTTCTTGGTCAAAGGGGAACTTTCTGAGTTGCCTGTGTATTCAGTTTATGAATTGTGCTGTAAAATATTTTCAAATAAAAGTTACAGCCTAATAGTGCGCTTTAGAAAGGCAAAAATGTTATAAGCTCTTGAAAATGAGCACTAAATATGAATATTCATATTACCATGGGAACCAACACCTACTGAATATGGCAGAAGCAAAGCTAATTCGTTATGTCCCTCTATCGAACTTTTCGAAATGCTATGCATTCTATATTTTTATTCAAATAAAAACATGCATGTTGTTCAATCACTGTCAGTGTGCTTCAGGAAATATTACCATTTGTCCCTAGTTCTTGTAACTAAAGTATTCAACTGAACTCATGAGAGAGATGATGCATTATGCATAAAGTGCAAGAAGTCTCCACCGAACATCTATTTTATACATTCATGCATTTGAGGCGAATATTACTGAAGAACTTTCGGATATTTTTCTTTTAAACAATTCCAGTAATACATGAAAAGCCATTCTTGAGATTGATCCTTTATCAAAATGTCATGAATCTGAAGAACATATTCTGCATGAATATTTCAAAATTGCGTAAAATTTGAATGAAGGAATATTTTTAGTATTGCTTCAAAAATGTCAGATGAAAATGTGGGAAATATTCATGGCAGATAATAAAGGTCCCTCAAACAAACAAAGATGATGTGAATGTTTCATGTGCTATGTTTGAAACATGTGACCTTTGTATGTTTATAGCGTCTGGAAGATGACAGTCATACGTGAGATTCTAGATCCTTCTCAGTCCAGATCTTGTTGAAGTTCCGCATCAGATAAAGCATACAAACAATTGAAAGTACCATGTTCTTGGAAGCATATGTTTTGTATGGGCCCCAGATGCTGCTGTGTAAACAGTGGTATTGTTACCTACGTAATTAGAACAAATACCTCACACATGTAAACACTACCCCGGTCCTGACCAGTATCTGCAGCCGCTAAACTCACACACAGGGATACTGATCTCAACATGTGTCACTGAAACTAATATTGATGCACAGATAACCAGACGTGTTCATCTTAAGAGCAGACGTACATTGTCAGAGATCACCTTTAGATAAAATGGCACTGCAGACATATTACATTGCATCAACTAATAACCACGGATGTCTGAGTGATAAACCCAGGCTTGCCCTGGACATCAGAGCTTAAGAGGAATACATGAAATCATGAATATTCTTATTGGGTTCCATGAAATCCAAAGTTCTTTTGACTGGTAAATTAAATTCGGTTTCATTTCTGGAACTGAATTCATGGTAAATCTGATGAAGGTTGGTAGGGACAGATTCCTGTCGTGTGCATGAGGTCAGTGAAGGTGCACAAATCAATTTGTGAGGGAAATGTTATTTTTTCAGCAGCAAATGTTTTTTGCTGCCTAATAGGGGAACGCCTAGATGCTCTTCTTTACCAAATGCAGTGTTCGAGAGAGCGAGTGAGTGAAAAAGTGAGTGAGTGAGAGTGAGATTTAATGCTCCTTTTAGCGATATTCCAACTATACCACATCAAATGTCACAAGATAAGGGTTTATCACATTGTACTCATGCAAAGAATCAAACCCTGCCTCTTGTGTCGATTTACCCACAAGGCCACCTTACTGCCCCAACAAGTGTTTGTCTGTCATCAGCATATTAATGTTGAAGCTGACATTGATCATATCTACTTCAAAATTTCAGAAACCTACTGTCTCATTATTACAGTTCTAAAATGAATATTTTATTGTTTGTTTATGATACATGTGAACAGATGAATAGACACAAGAGCTGATCACATTCAACATGTTAGATAAAAAAATATGCTATATGTTATGAATGACATGAGTAACCGGGTAATACATTGTTGAAAATAGTGAAGAACACAAGACAGTGACTGGCACCATCCATCAAGGCTGGCAGGCACATCAAGGAATGTAGTACTGGCTATACAACTAATCCTATCCTAGTACTGAGTGCGGGGATAGACATTGTCTTGTACAAAACCTACTGCATCATATGGAACAACAGAAGGCTTGTATGTTTAGATGCTGTGAGAGAAAATGTTCTGTAAAATGTTTGGGAGGTCAAGATATCAGCTGTTGTACCCTGAGCAAGTCTCACAAGCAGGTGGGCCCATACACACAAGATGTCCTCCTTCACGGAAATGTTCTTCCAGCCTCTTAAAACATACTGACTTCCTTCCTAGACCATTGCCATGTTCCTTCATATATAACTTTGCATTTTTTGCTTCAAGAACTTGCACCTTGTTAGTTTTATGCACTTTGAGTTCTGGCATGGCTGATATCTGTTCGTGACGACATAAAAGAGCCTCTCAAGACATGTCTGCAACATGCTATGGGTGCCCACTTCACAGAAACATACATCACCATCTTATACACACCAGTTTTCTGTCTCACAAGAATTTCTGTGAGATGTGATGTAAAGGTTGGGCGAGGATTTATTTAATCTGTGTGTATGGCAACCAACAAAGTCAGAATATTAGTCAGAAAATTAACATGTGATAGAATATTTGTCTCTTCTTCTGAAATAACATAAGGCATGATGTGACCTGAAAACTTTCCACTAATACTGCAAGATATGAAGTTTGTCTTGTGAAACAAAAATGCTATTTGATAAAATTAGTAAAACACGTGGAGAATGTTTCACTTGGCTGGAGAGAAAGAGACATCATGGACGTGAGTGAGTGAGTGAGTGAGTGAGTGAGTGAGTGAGTGAGTGAGTGAGTGAGTGAGTGAGT